TGAGAGACCACGAGCAGGGGGGGAGAGGGAGAGGGAGAAGCAGACTCCCTGCTGAGCTGGGAGGCCAACATGGGACTCGATCCCAGGACTGGGAGATCACGACCTGAGCCATACATAGGCAGACGCTTAACCATCTGAGCCCCCCAGGCGCCCCCCGAAAGATACTTTTAGATGAAGAAATGGTGGTGCTGCTGTGGAACCGTAAAGGAAGCCCCTGTCCCCTTCAGCAAAGAGCTAGGGGTGGACACCTGGAAGGGCCTTATGACCCAAAGGACAGGTAGAAGTTTGACAACTTGATTTAGTAGTGAAGTGGTTCACCTAGAAATGCAGGTGCACAGGAGGGTCGTGGGAGGAGGTCACCAGGAGTCTGTGTGACAGGTTAAGGAATCTGGGCTAGATCCAGAGAACAGGAACCACTGAAGGTGTTTAAAGAGGACATTGGGAAGATCCATGAGGAAGGCATAAGGTAAGGAGACCAGAGACGTAGGCATAGGCCAATTGAGGCCCAAAATCAGATGGCCGGTCACTGTGAGCACTGCTGTTCAGGGCTGTCTGCCACGGGCAGCACCCTTTGGCATTGGCCTACCTGTGAGTTCCTTTGATTCTGAACCTTCCTTGAGAAGACCACATTCTGCCTGCAGTTCTGAAGAATGGGCTGGTTTTTTACACATTCCTGCTCACCCTGCCAAGCCTAGGTGCAAAAGTTGGGGCTCCTGTACCAGCACCCTATTCTCTCTGGAGCCTGGGTTGGCCTGGCACAAAGGATGGTATGTGAATGCCCAACAAACGGCAGAGACAAGTAAAGGGCCCTTCCCTCCAGGCCTCCACAAGCAGATGTGTTCACACTGGCTGTGACTGTCCCCTCGGAGCCTCTGCCCTTTCTGATCAGAGTCCAAACAGGTTGATACTTTTCTGGGCTGGCCACAGTCAAAGATCTTTGGAAGGAGTCCAGGGAGGCCGCCCCAACTCTTGAAGCTCCCAAGCCATGCATCTCTGAGGATAGCTTCACCCTAGGGGGTGCTCCTGCACCTGCCACCACTTTCCTGGAGGAGCCCTGGTGCCCCTCTAGCAGCTGGAGGAGAGCAGCTTACCCGTTGTCCTCTCCGCCTTTGCAGAACCCTCCCTCAAGCCTCTGGTTATTGAAAAAGTCCTGAATTAATGTCTCCTCTTCTGAAACAGTCTAGATGTTGGAAGCACCTGGGAAAGGTCCCTGCGTGGGTGCCTGTGGAAACAGAACCCAGCCCTCCCTAACTTACCTGGAGGCCCAGGGGCCAGGAAGCTGCTCCTGCCCATGGGAGGGGAAGGGGGACCGGGGTGCTGTGCACATTGCCCTGGGGCAGTTAATTTGGGACCGCAGGGCAACCGGGCCAAGGATAAGCCTGTCTCCTGTTGCATCATGGTTCTCTGGGGACCTGAGCTGGGAGCCTCTGCCAGGTCTTTAAATAGCTGCCCCATTGATCTGGCCTCCCAGGCAGCACGGGCAGCGCTGGGTCAGCCTCCTGGGGGTTGGGGTCAAGTGCCAGGTAATCGCACCGATTTCCCTCTGACCTGATGCTCCCCACACGTGTCTCTTAGACTTGGGGGTGGGGAGGGAGGAGGCTTGGTCCCATCACTTCATCAGGCGCTGAATATAGCCCCCACTGCTTACCAGCGAGAAGTGTCTGGGTATCGTGGGGTGAGTGGTATTACCCTCAAAAGACTAGAGTTTACTTTCGGCAAATGGGATGATGACAGTATCCTCCTGCGGGATTGTTATGAGGATTAAATGTACATAAAGTGCTTAACAGGGGACCCAGACTCAATAGGTGGTTGTCTTCTCTTGCAGTTTCTTCCTGCTGCTGCTTCTTACAGGCTTATGTATATATATCTTGTATGCTTATATATATCTTACATGCTTATGTACATTTTCTGCCCCCCCATCCCTATCGCCCCACCCTGGCCTTCTGACAAAGCCACCACAATTTTGTAAGGGACTATAGCTTCTCCCCGAACTGATGGGAAAGTGAGTTTTTTAGATGGCCAGCACACAACCAACGTTAGTCACCTTAGCTCAGCTGGGGAGGTAAAGTCAAGTGAGAGCGACAGCCTACTAACTGTTGTAGTCTCCTCCCATCTTACGCATCCCAACCGCTAAAGAAGGTCACTTTCTCTTTAAATGCAAATTACCTCCTGCCAGCTCTACTTCCACCCGCTCGGCTCCCTAGGAGGAGAGCGCTGATCGCGGAGGGAACGGCCCCGAAGCCTCACTCCCGACGCCACACCTCCAGGTCAGTTGCCCCCTTCCAGGGTGGGGTGGGGGGGGCGTGCGGAACGTCTCGGGTCTGACGCTCCATTTTGGATCCTGGCTCCCCAGCCGAGCGATCCTTTTGGCACATGGCTTTAAAGACTGAGCATGGGAAATAGATCCCAGGTGGCCCCCAGCCATTCCCAGGGAGCAGGGGCTCCTGCTCCAGTTCTTCTATCAAGTCCTTAATTGGGCCAAGCTGCTGCAACGCCAGACGGAGGATGTGCTCCGGTCTCCCCTCCACCACACCCCCTGGGGCCGGCCAGCCAGGTGCCAATTTCAATGCTGATGCCCCCAGGGGCGCCACCATCCCAGAGTCGGCAGCCTGGAGCGAGCAGCTTGGGAGAACCCCTGGAAAGAGCCCCCGGGCCCTCCTCCGGGAGGACCTCAGCTGACCCGAGGCTTAGGGGGTGGAGCTGGACCGGAGGCTGAGCAGTGCCAGCCACAGGCCATTGTTGGAGGCCGAGAGGGCCAGCTGCCCGACCACCCACCCCACCCTGGCCGCAACGGCAGGGAGCCCGTCCCAGAGAACATTTGGGAGTTGCCTGATGTTTGGGGTTGGGGGTGGGCGGAAGAGGAGGGATGCCAGTGTCCGAGTGGGTGGGGGATCCCACAGTGAGCGCCGTCACCCATCCTCTGGGGGTGACTGCCTGACACTGAGGTCTTCCCAGGCGCCCCCACCCACATCTTGGTCACCTCCCTTGCCGACAAAGTTTGTCAGCATCTGCCCGGACAGCTGATTAAATAAATACAAGAGGACCTGGTTAAGACACCCCTAACCCTCCGCTGGCCTCCTGCCGGCTCACAGCCTCGCTGCCTCCCCCTCCGTTTCCTCTGCCAGCTTCCCGACAGGAAACCCCCGCAGCAGCGGGACAACAGTGTCTGGTCCAGCCCTTCCAGGCAGCAGCCAGGTTTTCAGGCCAGGGGCTGGAGGGCAGGGGTTGCCTGGGGTAGGCCCTGGAAGGTCCTTCAAACACACATCCAAGACCCCAGCGGGAGGGCGCCAGCATCTGGGCCTGCCCGTCCTGGACAGAGGAGGGGACCGAGGCCCTGGCAGTTATGACGGGGCAGTGGGAAGGTCCCAGGGCCCTTCCTGTGCAGCTCTCAGGGGTGGCTGGGTGAAGTGATGCCTTTGCCTCTCACTATCTCAGTGGGACCTGAGGCCCAGCCGGCATCCAATGGAGGACAAGAAGAAGAAAAGGAGTCCCAAGCCCTGCCTGACCCAGCCAGCCCAGGCCCCGGGAACACTACGAAGGGTCCCTGTGCCCACCAGCCACAGCGGCTCCTTGGCCCTGGGACTCCCTCATCTGCCCTCCCCCAAGCAGCGGGCCAAGTTCAAGAGGTGGGTACAGAAGGAAAGCAGGGCAAGGAGGGAGGGACCCCACGGGATCCCACCCCCACTCTGGGCTGAGCCCTGTGGGAAGGAAGGTAAAGACAGCCTTAGCCTAAGCCTTAGCCTTAGCAACTGTTGATGCCTTCCCTGGGGCTGAGAGAGAGCTCAGAGATGCCTCAGCCCCAGTCTGTGCCCTCAGGTGTAGGGGAAAGGCTAGAGGGGTGACTGGGATCTCACACCGTGCTGATGCACCTCAGAGCAGGGAGTGAGCGATGCTGTCAGAAGGAGAGGCTGTAGGGCACACTGGAGAGAGAGAGAGAATGTCTAAGCTGAGGGACTTGCCTGACATAAGTATGGAAGAAAAATATTGCCTGGGAGGTTCCCGGAACCTGGGTGGTTCCACAGCAACCACAGGTGGTTGGTGGCCCTCAAGTGTCATGGAGCAGGAGATGGTACGGGAGACTCAGATGTACAATATGAATTTTTGCTTACTTTTTCTTAATAAGTGGGGATTTGTATCCTACCATACAATGTCTCCATGTTTGTTTCCCACGAAACACAAGGTGTTCTTTCTCCCGTGACTGTGTCCCCTGTGGCTTTGCACACTACCTGCCTGAGAGATCTGTCTGGGGACCGCCACAGTGGGGTGTCACTGAAGCTCAGGGCTGGAGACAGAACAGTAGGAAATGCAACAGGAAAGAAGGGGGGGCAGGCTGAGAAGGGTCCTTCAGTGTTATCCTGGGGACAATGGAAAATTCAAAACAGTTTTGAAATAGAAGAGGAGCAGAAAGACATTTTTGGGAGAGGTAAGATGGCTGTCGTGACAATAAGGAGTAACTGTCCCCAGTGAGGACAAGCGATTCCCCCAGGGCTATGGGAGGAATGAGTGCAGGGCCCAGACAGGAACCCAAAAGCCCCCCTCCAGGCCCGGTTCTGGCTGGGAGTGTAATCTGAAGAAAAAGCCTTCCTTTGACCTCTTCTCCCTACCCCTCCTCACCCACTCCCTTCCCTTCCCAGTCCTGGTGCCCCGGGCAGGGCTGCAAGAGCAAACATCCGTTTCTGTTCAGGAGTAGAGAGGAAGATGAATTAGTGCATAGGCAGAAGGCAGAAAAAACCTTCGGGTACCTGGCTGCCCCCACCCTGTGACCATGGCCATGCCCACCCCACCCAGGGTAGGCAAGGAGAAATGCCGTCCGGTGCTGGCCGGAAGCGGGGGCTGCTCGGCAGGCACTCCCCTGCAGCACTCCTTTCTGACCGAGGTGACAGACGTCTATGAGATGGAGGGGGGACTGCTGAACCTGCTCAATGATTTTCACTCGGGCCGGCTGCAGGCCTTTGGTGAGTTCCCACCAGGGGGGCTGCCTGAGGGGGTATGTGGGTGGGGCTGGAGGGCCTGGTCTCTGGGCCGTGGCTGGGGCCAGGGTCCCACGGTGCTCCCAGGGCTCAGACAGGTCCTGTCCAGGAAAGGAATGCTCCTTTGAGCAGTTGGAGCACGTGCGGGAGATGCAGGAGAAGCTGGCCCGGCTGCACTTCAGCCTGGACGTGTGTGGGGAGGAGGAGGATGAGGAGGAAGAGGACGGGGTCACTGAGGGGCTGCCTGAGGAGCAGAAGAAGACGATGGCTGACCGAAACCTGGACCAGCTGCTTAGCAATGTGGGTCGGGGCTGGGTGCTTCTGTTCCCGGGGACACTGCGGGGTGGGGGAGGTACATGATCCTAAAGCTATTCCTGGCCCCTGGGTGAAAAGCTGGGGGTGCATGGAGCCCCAACCCCTACCAGAAGATCGCTTGCAGGGCATCTGGGGTTTGGCCTGGTGCCTCTCCTGACAGAAACCTCCTTTTCTCTCTGTTGACAGCTGGAAGATCTTAGTAATTCTATGTATCCTTTCCAGGGGACCGTGCTGTGTGTATGTATGTCCACACCTCCCACAGACAAAATCAGTTCCCTTCTCCCCACCACCCTCTAGGAGTATTTACACTATAACCAGTGTGTCCCCTTTCTGTCCTACTGAAGCAGAATTAGTCACAAACTGCCCCCCAGGCAGAATTGTCCCAAATATCAGGAGAAAGATAGTTATAGGGAATGTGATTTATCTACTTAATGAAGATCCTTGCAAGTGAGGTCCCTGGCTGGCTCAGTTGGTAGAGCTTGGGACTCTTGATCTCTAGGGTTGTGAATTCGATTCCCATGTTGGGTACAGAGATTACTTAAAAATAAAACCTTTTTGGGTGCCTGGGTGGCTCAGTCGTTAAGCATCTGCCTTCCGCTCAGGTCATGGTCCCAGGGTCCTGGGATCGAGCCCCGCATCGGGCTCCCTGCTCTGCGGGAAGCCTGCTTCTCCTCCCACTCCCCCTGCTTGTGTTCCCTCTCTCACTGTGTCTCTGTCAAATAAATAAATAAAATCTTTAAGAAAATAAAAATAAAATAAAACCTTTTAAGTTACACTAGTGAAAAAAATAAAATCCTTTTTTTTTTTTTCTTTTAAGAGAGGGAGAGGGGGTGGGCAGAGGGAAAGGGAGAGAATCCCCCTGCAGGGCTCGATCTCACAACCCCGAGATCATGTCCTGAGCCAAAATCAAGAGTCGCACACTTCACCGACTGAGCCACCCAGGCGCCCCCCAAATAAAATCTTTAAAAGAAAGAAAATCTTTGCAAGTACTTTAGCTGACACCAATCCATGACAAAGCTTGTCTGATGTCTTCCTACTCTTTCAACATTGAATAATTATTTTCACTGATTTAGATTATCTCCCCATCTAGTCTCAGCCAGAAATAGTGCGGGTGCACGTACTTGCAAGATCTAGACCAGAAGAGAAGGGAGTAAGCTACCTAGCCAGAAGGGCGGGTGTGGACTGCAACTTGGACCACGGATCACCCGAGTTCTCCGACCCCGCCTCTTTGTGCAGTTGGGGAAACTAAGCCTGTGCAGGATGGACAGACAGGGCTGGAAAGACTGGGGTCCAAAGCATCGCAATCCTTGACTGGCACAGACAGAAGTTGCATCTGGCCGAGAACGCCGAGCCTGAGGAGCAGTCAGCCGTGTAGATGTCGGACCCAGGCCCAGACTGCCCCTCTCATGCCCTTCAAACTGTGACCTTTTATGGACTCGATCGGGTATTACGCGGCTCCCCAGGTGCTATGGGGGAGGGGGGCACTGGATGGAATTAAACCAGAAAAAAAGAAAGACACCGGCTCCGCCTGCTTCCTTCCCTCCTTGCGCCTTCACTCGGGAAGGCCCCCAGCACCCGGCCTCCGCAGAGACACCCCTCTGCGACACACTGTGCTTTGGGCGGTCCCGCTCGGTGGGGCGGAGGCGGAGGGGCGGAGTCTGGAAGCGGGTATTGGGAACCGGCCGCCGAGGCTGGCCGCGGCCGCGGGAGGAGCAGGGTTGCCTTGGAGACGGCAGGGCGGGGCCTTGCGCGCGGCGCAGACTAGTGACGCAACTGGCAGGCGCCCGGCCAGCCGCGGGTCTGTTGGCGCCCGGATGGAGCGGGAGCGGTTGGTTCGGAGGGTGTCGGTGCTGCAGGTGCGGAGCGGGTCGGGGGCGCACGATTCCCACCACGGCATCTCGGGTTGGGACCTTCGAAAGAGATGAGGCTACCACGTTCAGTCACCTACCCTCGTGCCCGCCTCTGGAATTACCGTCCCACCCCCACCGCCCTGAAGAATGCTGGGGACCCGCGGACCCTCACCGGCCTTCCACTCCCGCCGTCCGCTCTTGCGGGATCCAGGAAGTGGTGGGAAGGGCCTTAAATTCAAGAGAGGGATCCAGTCCGGCATCCTCCCTTGAACCCCCGGAGACTGTCCTGACGTACAGCGTCACCTATCCTTTCCCGCGGCCAGAGCCCCTCTTAGTCCCTGGGACGACCTCTCCAGGAAAACCCCCCAAATGCCCCCGCTTGTGCAGTGATAAGCATTTTCTTTCCCCCTTATTCTCCACGCCAGGCCTGCGTCCGGGGCTTCTTGGTCCGACGCCACTTCCAGAGTCTGCGAGATGAGTATGAAGCTATTGTACGAGAAATCGAGGGTGACCTGGGCACGCTTCAGTGGACAGAGGGCTGGATTCCCAGGCCCCAGTTTCTCCCAGCGGTAGTATACACCCCAGTGGAAGAAGGGAGGGGTAGGAGGGACCTGGAGAGGGGATTCAAGGAAATGGTAGAATCCACCCTTCCCGTTGACAAGCTTTTCTCAGTGGAAGAGACTGCACTCCTCACATGCCAGTCCTTAATCCTTACCACCTTGTATGCTAAATCTTGGCACCCAGATATTTGGAGAGTTTAGCTGTGAGGTTCTCATACTTCTGATTTCTCAGAAGGCAAAATCCCATCGGACCCGGAAACCCCAAGGGAGGGCACCAAATCCAGAGCAGGAACTACGGAGCAGCTTCTCATGTAAAGAACCTGAGAGAGAAGCTGTCTTGGGGGAGGTGATGCTGAAGAAGTCAGGAGAGAGCTCCGCAAACTCAGGAAGTCTTCTCTGCAGAGGTGACAGCCCCTGGCTTCGGGATGAGCACAGCAGGAAAGCCAGGAATCCCAGCCAAGGGGAGACCAGAGGTACGTCAAGGATGGAAAACCCAGGTACCTCTGTGCCTCAATTCAGGGCAAGCCCCTGACCCGCTCTGGGCCTCAGCTTTCCCATCTGAAAAGTAGAAAGGCTTGTGCTCCATAAGCTGCATCCCTCTCTTTTTTTCCCAGTGCCTCGTTAAGGGCAACTCGGGGGTGGGCAGGGGGAGGGTGCCAGGGCTTAAGGGTAGCCAGTAGCCAGTGTGTACCCCTAAAGCCTTCTCCCTTTTTTCTTCCCTCCTTCGCAGAAGCTGCGGGTGTAGGACTGCCCCGCAGCCAGACTGAGCTCCAGGAGCTCCAGTACCACCACAACCACTTGGCCATGGAACTGCTGTGGCTACAGCAGGCCATCAATAGCCGTAAGGAGGTAGGCACTCCCTTGGAGCCCTGCCTGCACATTTAGGGCCAAGGGTCGGGGTTAGGGAAAAGCCTCCTGCTCTGTGCTCAAGCAGTCCTGCCTGGTACAGTGTCTGTTCTCTTTCCCAACAGTACCTAATTCTCAAACAAACACTGACATCCCCAGAGGCCAGCCAGCCTAGAGACAAGCCCAGCGTGTGCCCAGACCACAGGGCACAGACCTATGAGAGGGCTGGGTCACAAACAAGCCCGCCACTGAAAAACCAGTCCTACCAAGACAGGACTGCTAGGGAGCCAGACCATGTGGATGACTGCTGGAGGCTCAAATCACCACCCCGCAAGTCCCCAGAAAGACTGGCTACTACAGACAAAACCACGGCTGGGGTCAAGTACAGGGACCCATGCTACAGGAGGGCTGGGCCACAGCTGCCCACACCATCAGATAACCAGACCTTAGAGAACAGGCTCACCAAAGAGCCAGACCATGGGGAACAGACATTTGGACAGACCTGCCCGCAGCTAATGACTGTTCTGCGCGACCACACCCCCAAAGGCCTCAAACCTAGGGGCTACCGTTCTGAAAAGGCCAGGACCCGGGTGCCCACACTCTGTGAAGACCCAGATACTAAGGACAAGTCTCCCAGGAGGCCAGAACACAGAGACCCTGATTGCCAAAGAGCTAGTCCACGGAAGTTAGACCTCTCAGAGGACCGTGGCATCTGGGATGAGACTCGGCAGAGCATGGTGGCCAGGGTCTCTGGAAGACTAAACCACCTAAGGGCCAGCTCCCTAGTGAGAAAAGCTCCAGGGATAGAACCTCCAACGAACCTAGCCATGAGGAAGGGAAAAACCAGAGGACCGTACCATGGCGATCAAGGCCGCCTGAGAAACTGTCTTTGACAGGGTCAGCCCACATGGGGGAGGACCACTGGAGGGACAGGCCATGGAAAACAGGACCACCAGGCTAGGCCCTGGGGAGCCAGGGGAAGACCAGGCTCCAAAGCAGGGTGCTATGAAAGGGTGATGAGGGAGGCAGGCCTCATCCTTGCTCCCTGGTGCCAGCTCTTCCTTCTGCCCTGGGCTGTTGGTGGCTAATGGGGCCAAGAAAAGCTGGAGCAAAGAGTGGGCACCAGTATGGGGAGGGGAGGGAGAAGGACATACTTTCATCCTCTGCCTGTGGTTTAATCCAAATTTTGGGATAGGGAGTTTCCTGGGATAAGTATAGTGGGGAGCCTGATGGAGAATAAACATTTTTCATGGATTCTGCACGTGGTTGCATTCATCTTCTGCCTCTGTCCAGGATAGACACTGGGCCCTCCTGTTCCTTTCCTGCTGGCATGGGGCACCTTCCCCAGGGCTGGCTGGGAGCCACAGTCCAGGAGCAGATGGGCCATCCTTGGGAGCAGTCCCCAAAGCTGATCGTCTTTTGAGCTCAGCCCTTGGGCTGCACGGTGGCAGGGAGCCTCTGCGGATTCTTCCCTCTCTCCAGTATTAGAACATCTGTGCTTCGGTGTGTTCCCCACCACTGCCTCTCTCTCACTGAGGCCCAGGGTCTTCCTTCCAGGATAGTGATCAGACCCGCCCAACTCTCACGAGGCCCCACCAAGGGTCGGCTGGATGAGACCCTGAAGGCCCTGCAGTCTCTCCCACCTTCCTTGGTGAGGGGGCAGGACTCCACCTCTGACCGGCCCTGCTCCCAGCCTGCCTTAGTTGCCTGGCAACGGCTCTGCGTCTCTCGCTGAGGACACACGATGGCCGGTGGTGGCAATCCAGCAGCCAAGAGGGTGGTGGTATACCGGAACGGGGACCCCTTCTCCCCAGGCCGCCAGCTGGTGGTGAGCCAACGCCGCTTCCCCACCCTGGAGACCTTCCTCCGTGAGGTGACCTCGACTGTGCAGGCCCCAGTGGCTGTGCGGGCCCTCTATACGCCTCGTGGTGGCCACCCTGTCACAGACCTGGCCGACTTGCAGAATGGAGGGCAGTATGTGGCTGCTGGCTTCGAAAGATTCCGCAAGCTGCAGTGAGTGGGCCGGGGCTGGTTAGAGCCGCGGGAGGGAGGGACCTGCAAGAGCGATAGTATTCGTGTTCAGTGCTTGCTGTGCGTGTGTGTTCTCTTCTGGGATACAGCAGCCCGACGCAGGGGGGGTCTTCTCCCCGCTCTTCAGATGCCTCAGAGTACGCAGGTTACAAACAGCGAAGCCACAGCCCTAGGCCAAGTATGACACTGATGTTCATGCCCATCACAGTCAGGACCAGGCTTCGAGGAGAACGTTCTCAAGCAGCTGGAGCCCCTTTTTCCAAAGGCTCTTCTTGATTGGATCCGCTACCACCACCATCACCAAATGCTAAATCCATCCATCGCTTCCTCCCTGCTGTGATTAGGCATCCTGTGCTCTCCACGGGCTGGGGTCATCCCCATTTGTAGGGTGGGGCCATGCCTTCCAAGATGGGAGAAGAATTTAAATATCTGAGCTCCCAACTCAGATCTGACTTCTAGGTGCTACTCAGCTGTCCCCTGGGGTTGCTTATGGTAGCGTAAGGAGCAAGGGGTGGGAAGCCAGACAGACTTAGAATCTGGGCTGTCACTTACTTCCGTGTTACTGTAGGTCACGTAACTTTCTCTGTCACAGAAAATGAGATGAAAGCTCGTGAATGAGAAAATTTCTGAGATAGAGTATGACGCTTAATGAACTAGTTTCTCTTGACCTTTAATGGTTTGTGTCTGAGCCCCCAGTCCAGATGGTCAGCCTGACGCTGGGCCCTAGGGTAGGTTCAAGGGCCAGCGTCTGTTTCTGCACAGATGTCTTGAGACTGTCCCGGTGGGGATGGATCCCTGGTAAGCTGTAGCCCTAGACCCTCACTCTGGCAGCTACCAGGGTGTTGAGGTCTCAGGCTTCCCAAGATGACTTGTGACCCATCTGTCCTTTCAGCTATTTATCCCCCAGACGGAAGGATCCAGGTGGGAAGGGCAGCAGACTACCAGTGAGTCCTGGGGGAGGCTGGCCTCCAGCCCTGTCTTCTCACCCCTATTGGGATTGCCCCCAGTTTCATCTGGGAAATCAGGGGCTCTGGAAATAACAGGATCTGTCAGGTCCCTGGGGGCTACTCTCCACATCCACTCTGGAGCCAGCTGCTACCCTTCCTGGGGTACAGGGTTTCAAGACTATGCCTTACTCCTCGCCCAGCCTTTATCACCAGGTTGTGGTCCCCAATGGAAAGAGGAACCTGTAAAACACACGGGGGCAAGGTAGTGGTTGGAATGTGACTACGGGGAGGTAGAATGTTCCTTTGGTGAAAGGTGTGACCCATCCCATCCCTCCTTGCCCCCTCCTTCACTCACCCTACCCACCTTGGACTGACCCACCCCTAGCCAAAGTCCTCAACTCTCTCCTGATCTGAGGGCCTGCCTTGGGTTTCAGGGTCCTCCTGTGACTCACCACCCAGGTGACAGGACCCTTGGACCGCGACCACCTGCAGGTTCCCCCTGCTACATCCAGTGAGTGCCGATGTCGGGGAGCAGGAGCATAGATTTTGTTTCAGTGAGACCAAGAAAATGTGGGTGGGTTTGTTTCCAGAGCCCCTGGTCCCAACAGGCCTGATGGGTGAAAACGGACCAGTGCCCTGGTTTGTAGACCATCTTCCGGCCCCGTGCTGCCCTTCTTCCTCTCACGTGTGGGGCATTCTGGGGACCCCTCTCCTTACCAGGCTGCTCTTTGTCCCAGTGTGTTCAGGAATGGGGACCTGGTAAGTCCGCCATTTAGCCTGAAGCTGTCCCAGGCTGCTGGCGAGGACTGGGAAACCGTGCTGAAGCTCCTGACTGAGAAGGCCAAACTGCAGGCTGGGGCTGTGTGCAAGTGAGTGTGGGCCCCGGGGAGGGAGCCTCCCTGCCGGTCCCGGCTGTCCTAGCGGACAACAAGGTGAAAGGAAAGCACGTCTCCCCAAATGGGACTTCCTTCTACGCCACAGGGAGAGGCCCCCGCAGCTGAGCCCCTGGAGCCAGGGCAGAGCCGAGGTGACTGGCCCAGGTGCTCGGAGGGTCAGCGGCCAGCGCGTACCCCGTCATAGTCTGCCGAGTGTGAAGAGGCATCTTGTCCGCTGGCCTTTACCACCTACCTTTCTCTCCCAGACTCTGCAGCCTGGAGGGGCTCCCACTGTCAGCAAGAGAGGCTCTGGTGAACGGCCATTATTATGTGGCGGTCGGAGAGGAGGAGTTCCAGGCCCTCCCTTATGTGGAGCTGCTGGTGCCCAGCCCCTCACCGCCCAGGGGCTGCTGGTACGGACGGGTCAGGTGGCGAGGCGGCAGGGTAGAGCAGAGGAAACCACCCTGATCCCATGCCTGCTCTGCCTACTTGCTATAAACCCTTTGTTTTCATTGCAGGCACCCCCCAGACCCAAAGTCTAAGCCCCACAAGCCGCGGGTAGGTGACGGGGGAGGCCATGGGAGGCAGGCAAGGAGGGGGGTGACTGGCTGGCCTCTCTTCCAGCTCAGGCTCTCTCCACATCGCACTGCATCCTCTTGTGGAACACAGGTTACCATTTCCCATTTCCCAGAGGAGGCACTCAGGTTCCCCAGAGTGAAGTCAGCTGCTCAGGGGGACACAGGTCTTGAGTGGCAAGGGCCAGACCAGAAGCTAGAGACAGCTCAGCCTGGCTCAACGAACACCTGCGGACTCTGCTGGCCGAGCGGGCCGCTGGGGGAGAGAACTGGCCTCTTTGGCGTAGCGGGGTCCAGCTCCCCAGCTGATCCCAGGCCTGAGCCTTCCCAAGAGATGAGCCAGCGAGCACTGGGTGGGGGTCGGAGGACACGGCCTGGCTTCACTGGGCCTCTTGAGTGCCAGGCACCAGCGGCTCTGTCCCCGGATAAGGCAGCCTGATGGGAAGAGGGAGCCGGGAGGGAGGATGCAGGCTGTGAAGACGGATGGCATCTCTCCCCAGCTCCCACAGGCACCAGGGGCATTCAAGCTTGGCCTGGCAGGAGAGAAGGCAAGAACAACCATCACCCCCAGTCCAAGCCCAGTATGTCCTCTACAGGCCCAGGGCCCCAGGGCACAGGCACCGCAGCCCTCTCCAAAGGAACCACGCCCCACTGAGCCATCTGCTTTCTATGCCAGACCCCAGCCTGCCATTCAGCCAAGCAACAGGCTCCCCACGCTCTCAGTTCCCTCAGGTGAGGGGACCCTGGGCCCTTCTCACCCACCCTCTGACAGTGACACAGAATGGTCCCTGTTGTGGGAGAGGTCCATGGGGGCAGAATGCCCGGGGACAGAGCTGGCCCTGACCTCAACACAGATCTTTCCCGCTGCCCCACGTGCACACGCAGTCCCTGGCTTCTTTGTGGGGAGCTGGCAATATGAAACGAGGCACAGGGAAACTTCAAGGGTGGGATCTGGAAGGGATGGGGGCCAATGGCCTGCCTCAGAGCTACCCTGCCAGCCTCCAAGGTAGTGGGGACTGTGGAGGGGAAGGGGCTGGGAGAGAAGGGCAAGGAAAAGGCTCAGGGCTCCTCAGCCCGGGCATCCACCAACACTGCCTCCTTCATCAGGAGTCAAGGGAGTGTATGAGGCTCTCCACCCGAGGAAGGAGACAGCAGGGGCCCAGGAAGTGGCAGATGATGAAGACACCTGCACGGAGGAACCCTTGGATCAGGTGGGTGGGGGCTGGATGCAGTATGTTGGTTCAGGAGCTCTGAGCTGGAATGGCAGCCTGGGGTCCCAGGAGAGCCCCCACCTTGGGACTGTGAGCAGATCTAACTCTCCAAGCCCAACCTCCTACCTTGTTAAATGAGAGGGCAGAGCCAAATTTGTAAAGTCTCTTCCTTTCCTGTGGTCAGAAACTTCAGCTGAGGGCTGGAGGCGACAAGGGACACTAATGCTCTGTTCTGTACGGCCTTCCGCCTCCTCCAGAGGGCAGCGCAGATGGTGGACGAGGCTCTGTGCCTGGAAAAGCAGCCTGGGGCTGGGGCAGTGGTCTCAGCCTCAACCCCGTCTCTGCCACCTTGAGAGCTGCTGTCCAGCCAGGACCTGGGGCGGCCACTCTGCAGCCACCTTTTATCCTCGTCTCCAGCAGCCTGTTGCAGGGGACCCAGCGCTGCCCCTGGGCTCACAGGATACCCTGTAGCCCCCTCAGCCCCGCCCCACTCTTCTGCTCCTAAACCCACAGCCCAGTCTTCGTTTCCTTCTGAGCCGGGCAGCCCTAGCCATGGAGACCATGTTCCTATAGGGTTCTCTGGTCAGAGACAGGAGGAGCCAACCGAGCTTAGGGGGAGGCTACAAACTTGGGAGCAGGTCTGCTGCAATAAAAGAATACTTAACTGTCCTCCGTCTGTTCGGTGCAGATTTATTTGAGGCTACCCCTCGGCGGGCACCGCATCACGTGGCAGAAGTGACGTGGTGCCGGGGCCCCAGGCTGTCTAAGAAGGGCAGGCAGTTGAAGATTTCCACCCACCTTCTAGGTGGGCCAGGCAAGGCTCCTAGACTGCTCATCTCCTCTACACCTGCCATTCCGACGTCCCTTCTTCCCCTCAGGTCCCTGCCTCAGCCAGCCAAGGCCTCTGGCAGCCCTGAGGCCTCCTGTTTGCATCTCGGGCACAGATGGCGGCTGGCCGTCTCCAGGCGGTCCGTGGACCCAGCTGCTGTGATAATCTGGATCGGGCCATAGTGATGGTGGCTGGGCTAGGGGCCTGACATGACAGCACGAGGAGCGCTGCGGGGCAGAAAGGTTTCTGGGGAGGTATGAAGTCTCTCGTGCTAAATCCAAGCAGCTGAACAGATCACTCCCTGCGGTTCTCCCGTGAGAGCCACCACGAGGTAGCTATTCGCCCCCTAAGAGGTGAGGGCGCTGAGGCTCAGGGGGAAGTGCTAGGTCCGTCTGCTCACTGGCTGTGCCTCACGGCTCAGGGGCTTCCTGGACACAGAAGGGCTGGAGGGTGGTGTGGGCCCACTCAAAGGGCAGACAGCTGCCCCTGGGTCTTGCTCACGGAGCTCGTGACGCAGAGTGCAATCCCCACCACGGTGAGCACCATGCCTGTGAATGCTCCTGGGAGAACGGGCAGAAATTGAGGGGCTGAGCCCAGCCAAGCTAGGAGCTGGTGCAGGGCTGAGGGACCAGTGCAAATGGGGTCTGTCCCCAGAATGCCCAGGGGAAGGAAACTCTGATGGCCATAAGGAAGCAGGAGAGCTGCTGAGGAAAGGGGAGGGATGGGGAAAGATCCTCTCCTCCCCACCCGTGGAGCCAGCTCTGGGAAAGGACTAACCAGGGTGGCAAGGCCCAAGGAGTGGCTTCCCACACTTGCAGTGGCCTGACTTACCTTTTCCACCAATATCTTCTCCGAGGACCTTCCCGACAATCAGTGTGAAGACGATGGCCAGAGAGTTACTGATGGGCACAGCTAGGGTCAGATCTGAGTGATCAGAATGAAAAAAAAATCTCTGAGATGCCAAAAAAATGCCTTTCTAGGCACAAAACACATTTTATCAAGACAGCCTGTTAAAAAAAGGGGGGTGCACCTGGGTGGCTCAGTCAGTTAGGTTTCTGTCTTTGGCTCAGGTCATGATCCCAGCGTCCTGGGATCGAGTCCCACATCGGGCTCCGTGCTCAGCAGGGAGCCTGCTTCTCCCTCTCCTTCCACCTGCCTGCCTCTCTGCCTGTCTGCCTACTTGTGCTCTATCAAATAAATAAATAAAATCTTTAAAAAAAAAAAAAAAGTATCTCATTTTCCCGATGAAATCACAGCAAAGCTCAGGATTCAAACCAGGTTTCCCGACTCTAAATTCAGTGCTCCCTCCACTCCAGCACGAAGACCCGAACTATAAGGTGGTCTGGGACCACCCTGGTTTGCGGATAAGGATGAGGTCTTTGCACTCGAAGAGCTCCTGCGATCGCAAGGATATCAGGACAGATAGGCCCCAAGCCTAAAGGAGGCAGTAGGATGAATGTAACAGCACAGCCACCATTTATTAAGTGCCAACTGTGTACTCATCTCCTTTGATCTTCACAACAGCACTGAGAGAAGAGCATCATCACTTTGTGTAAAGGAAACAAAAGCTCAAAGAAGACACATACATTGAGGCAAACCGACGACTTAAACCAAGGCCTGCTGGACTCCAAAGCCTGTGCCCCGATTGAACTAAACGGAGATGGACAAACAAAAGAGCCGGTGAAGCCCATCTGATTCTGTTTCAGCTCAGGCTTGGGCCTTATGGAGGTAAGAGAAGAAAATGTCAAATGTCAGAAGCAGGGGCGCCTGGGTGGCTCAGTTGGTTAAGTGACTGCCTTCGGCTCAGGTTATGATCCCGGGGTCCTGGGATCGAGCCCCACATCGGGCTCCTTGCCCAATGCCTGCTGTCCCCCTGCTTATGCACGCACATACTCTCTCCCTGACAAATAAATAAATAAAATCTTCAAAAAAAACTAAGACAGGTTTTTAAAAGATTTTTATTTATTTATTTAACAAACAGACAGCCAAAGAGCACAAGTTGGGGGGGTGGGGGGAATGGCAGAGGGAGAGGGAGAAGCAGGCTCCCCACTGAGCCCGATGTGGGACTCGATCCCAGGCCCCTCGGATCATGACCTGAGCTGAAGGCAGACGCTTAACTGACTGAGCCACCCAGGCGCCCCTCAATTTTATTTTTAAGTAAATGCTATGCTCGAACTTATGCTCCTGAGATCAATGCTCCACTGAATGAGCCAGCTAGGCGCCCCTAAACATAACTTTTATATGCACTAGGAAACCAAAAAATTCATCTGATCTGCTCTGCAACATCTGTTGTATCGTGCGGTAGTCCAGAACCAAACCTGCAATATCTCTGTAGTACAGCTGTAAAGTATCTTTTTTTAAAAAAAAACTTCATTTATTTATTTGACAGAGAGAGACACAGCGAAAGAGGGAACACAAGCAGGGGGAGTGGGAGAGGGAGAAGCAGGCTTCCCGTGGAGCAGGGAGCCCGATGCAGGGCTCGATCCCCAGACCCTGGGATCGTGACCTGAGCCGAAGGCAGACGCTTAACTGACTGAGCCACCCAGACGCCCCTGCTAGTACAGTATCTGATGCAGCAGAGGACAGTCAACAATCAGGGGGAGGAAGGAAATATATACTTACTGAGCACCTACAGTGTGCACCAGCTACTCTGCTAGATGCTTCCCATACACTGAATTTAATCCTCTCAATGCTACAAAAACCATCGTATAAAACCAACACTCAAATAAGAGACTTGCTCACGGTCAGGCAGGTAGCACACCGTGGAAGCAGGAGAGTCAAGGCCAGCCGCTGGCACAGCAAAATGAACCTCCCCTCTGACTCCACTGCTGCACAAGACCACCAGGCTTCAAACCAAACCAAGTGCCTGGCAGCATACTCATAATCAGCCCACTGTGCCCCAGCTGCTTAGAGAAGAGGGTGCAAAGAGGGAACCAGAGATAGTGGGCTCTCCCTCACTCATGGCAACAGGGTGTTTCAGGCCCCCTCCCCAAGTGACTCTTCCAGGTGGCCTCCAGCACTGAGCATAGCAGTTCTAAGTCAGAGACCCACCTGTTGATGCCAGGGTGAGGTAGTAGAGAAGGGAGCCACACTGGTTGAGGAAAAAGGGCATCATGTACTGGAAACAGAAGAAATCTGCAGTCAACGTGATGCTTGACTGAGAAGCACTGCCTTCTTTGAGCTTCTAGATAATGCCCTTCCTTGAAGGAAGCTACAAGGAAGCTTCCTTACAGCTATAAGGGTCCAAAGAGTGATTAGCCCACTGAAAAGGACCCTTCCAGAGCAGGCAGCAAGTTACTGACTGAACTCCATCCCTCTGCCTTTAATGCTTCTCCCTCAGCCCTGCTAGTTCCCATTCTCCCCATCTTCCCCACCCCGCAAGTCCCTGAATGCCAATGTCACTCCCTCCAAGAAGCATTCCTAGAGGCTCCTAGCTCCAGCCTCCCTCCTGTGAACTCAGGAAGCACTTAATCAGTACCTCTCTCGTGGCCCTTAGTCCTGAGAGGTGGTTGTGTCTATGTCTTGTCTTTCCCACTAGCCTAGACTGGCAGCACTGGGGTCAGAGGTAGTTCTCCATATCCTTCCTTATCCTCCCGCCCCAGGGTCAATCTGAGCCCCAAGTCCTCCCATGGAAGGTCTGTTGGAGGGATCACCAATAAAATACTAGTAATAGCACCCATAGATTGAACACTAATTCCGTACTGGACTCAGTGTTAAGTGCTCTATGTGCCTCACCTCACTGAATCCTCACAACTGCCCAATAAGATGGTTACCATTAACATTCCCATTTTACAGACGATGAAACTGAGGCTCAAGGAGGACAAGTGACTCGTCCAAGAGCTTCTAGCGAGTAAGCTGGTGGGGAGCAGATTCTGACCCAGCCTTGTTTGAGTCCAGAGACCAAATTTTTAGCAGCTATGCGCGAGAAAGGGGCCATTCACAGACACACCTCAGTATCCAAGAAGAGGGTCTTCATCTCCTGCAGCAACTGCCGGGCCCAGGTCCGCTCATGAACCTGCTGCAGGCGGGAGGAGGCCCGCTTCAGCAGCGGCTGTGTGCCACCCCACAAGGCGGCCACCAGCACCAGAGCCAGCACCTGTCCTGGATGGAGATGCGAGGTCACTCACCCCCCCCAAAAACCGTTGCCCGCCGGCCCGGCCCTCCTCGTACCTCCCTTCCCCAGCCAGCCACCCCCACATCCCTCCCTCGCTCTCCGACGCGCCGGGTGCGATTGGCGGGTAGGACAGGCCCCGGGAGGCCAGGGAGATGGGTCCGAGAGCCCGGAGTTTGGGGTTCCGGCAGGGGTGAAGGTCAGGTAGTGGAGGTGGGGCGGGAAATGAACTCCGGGCAAGGTTTGGGAAGCCCCTAGAGGGGCGGGGCCGCCCACCCACCCAGAGACGCCGCCATGGCAACGCCGCTCCCTCCACTTCCGGGAACGAAGGGGCGGAGACCCACAATCCGGAAGTGGCCCCAAAGCCTCTTCCGGTCCTACTCACGTTGCTTCTTTCCTCGCGTCAGTGCCGGGATGGTGAGTTCTCCTGAGTTGCGGTGTTAGCGTGGGGGTCTGGGACTGGGGCAGGGGCCGATCCTGGGCGCTGACACACCTGTCCTGTCCCCACAGAAGCCGATCCTGCTGCAGGGCCATGAGCGATCCATTACGCAGATTAAGTACAACCGTGAGGGAGACCTCCTCTTCACGGTGGCCAAGGACCCTGTGAGCGTCGGCAGAGGGCGGGCCGGCGGGATCTTGGGGCGGGGGGAGGCGTCGGGAGGGGGCGAGTTCATTCTGCCAGGGCAAGGGGTGGACAAGCCGTTTTTGCCGTGAGAAGGGAACCAAAGAGCTCCCCATTAGGAGAGGAGGGAGAGACCACCCCTGGAGTAGGTGGGCGAGAGCATTATACTGGGAAAGAACACTGTTCTTGGTGGGAGGAGTGGCCGGGAGCAAAAGAGCAAGAGACCATTATGGAAGGGAGATGGGGACAAGAGTGACTATTCTTCCAGGGTAGGGGAACGGACCACCTCTAGAAGCGGAAAGCTGATCCTTGGACAGTGAGGGACAACAGAGGACTACTTTACTGGGGGAGGTGTCCCTGGTCTCATTTCAGTAGGTCCTTCTGGGCCCCATCCTGCTTTTCACTGAGTGCAAACAGACTCTCATGTACTGCCTTTTGGGACACCTCCGTATGGAAGACGTTAACTCTCGTGGCTAAAAGTGGGAGTTCGGAAGCCAGCCGACCCGATTTGAATTCTGAGCCCTGCATCCGAGTAACAGTGTGACTTTGAGCGTGTCATTTAACCTTTCTAAACTTGGTTTCCCTTATTATAAATTATGGGTACTAACAGTACCTCCCTCATGGGGTTGTCTTCAGGGTTAAATGAGATCATTCAAGTAAGGAGCTTACACAGTAAGTACCTTGTGCATATTAGTAGAGAATTGTTAGTCATTTATATTTTAAATTCCTTAGACATCATTTTATTGAAGCCTCATAGATACCCTTTGAAGAAGGCATTATTGTTGTGTCCATTTTACAGACAAGAAAATAAGCTCAGAGAAGAGAAACACTGTAGTGGAGGGTTTCGGGAAGGACTGGGACAATGGCATGTAGATGTTTTTGCAAGCCCCCTGACTCCCCTGCCACTTACCTGCAGGAAGGAGGAAAATCCAGCAGTTGGTCTTTTTACCAGCAACCTGCTGTTTCCCAAGAGATGAGCAAGAGAGGGCAAAATCTGGCCTGGCTAGAGGCTGCTGAGGGTTCCTGGGGAACCTCTTAAGTAGGAGGCCATTGCCTGGGATGCTTACCATCTGTCACACTGTCATTGACTCCTCCAGATTGTCAATGTGTGGTACTCTGTGAACGGTGAGAGGCTGGGCACTTACATGGGCCATACTGGAGCTGTGTGGTGTGTAGACGCTGACTGTATCCTTGTCTTTGCTCTGAGTCTGTGCTGCCAGGGTCTGCGAGCAACAGAGAGGCTGCCGACTTGGAGTTGGGAGTTTGGGATGCTATTGTGGGTCTAGGGAATGATAACCTACTTCCTAATACCCGGTCCCTTCACTGGTTGAGGGAACATTCAAGACAAGTTCTGATTCTAGATGAGGAGGTTAGAATGCTCTGAGGTAAGAGAGGAAGAAAGGCTGTCTGGGGCAGAACGGGGAGGTAATTCAGTTGGTTTTCCAGGAGGATGAGGGCTCAGATGAACTCAGTCATGTTTCTTAACACCCTCTTCAGGGGACACCAAACATGTCCTCACCGGCTCCGCTGATAATAGCTGTCGTCTCTGGGACTGTGAAACAGGTAAGGCTGGATCGTTTACTTTTTCACCAGACAGTGAGGACCTACAGCGTACCTGTTTAGGTGAACAGGTTTTGGGGAAACAGAGATAAATCCAGAGATGGCTCCTGTTCTAAGGAACGAGAAAGAGACAAGGAGAAGAAGACAGACAAGAAAAGAGGCAGTTCAGTAGGCTATAAGGCACCTTAGAGAAAGCACAGAGCACTGTGGAAGGCCAGAGTGGGGGCAGCTGACTGCCTGGAGTGGGGATGGGAGCAACCCGGCAAGGTTTCCCAAGGTAAATGTCACACGAGCTGGGGCTTAAAGGATGAGGAAGAGGTCATCACTTTAGAACATTCTGGAATGAAAGCATGGCAAGTATCCTCTCCAAGTCATCTGATCTGATGGGAGCTCCTGCTTCTTGGGGGATGAAATAGTCAGGAGAGAAGAGGCGGCAGGCTAGGGTCAGAATAGACCTCGAATGCCAGACTCAGGAGCTTGTCTTCGTTCTGTAGGAGTTGGCATGCCGTGGAGGTCCTTGAGCAGGGAAGAGTATGTTTCATTTTGGCGAGCTCAGGTAGCAGCGGGGAGTATTGGAAGAACAGGCCGAAGACACGGGAGCCTATTAAGCTGCTCCATCTAGTAAATATTTACTGGGCACCCAATTCTGTGCCAGGTCGATGCTGGGTTCTGGGGACGTGCAGAGAAGTTCGAGCAGATCCTTGTTTTGGAGGAAGGCATTCTGAGGAGAAGACGGACGTATTGCTACGCACTGTGAGCAGCGCGTAGCAGCAGGATGTCTGAGGACAGATGGTGGGGAGGCGGCGGTGGCGGGGGCTGTGGTCACTAGAGCAGGGGACACAGCGGACAGGAGGATAGGCAGATGTGGCGTGTCCTCCCCTTGATGGCATAGGGCAAAGGGTAGCCCAGACTCTGCCTGTCCCCAGGGAAGCAGCTGGCCCTCCTCAAGACCAATTCAGCTGTCCGGACGTGTGGCTTTGACTTTGGGGGCAACATCATCATGTTTTCCACCGACAAGCAGATGGGCTACCAGTGCTTTGTGAGCTTCTTTGACCTGCGGGATCCAAGCCAGATCGGTGAGCCAGCGCTGCGGGGTTGGGACTGGGGCTGGGGTGAAGGGCGCGGCTCCAGAGCCCACGGCCTGACATCTTCCCCCCCACCCCCAACAGACAACAATGAGCCCTACATGAAGATCCCTTGCAACGACTCCAAGATCACCAGTGCTGTTTGGGGACCCCTGGGGGAGTGCATCATCGCAGGCCACGAAGGCGGAGAGCTCAACCAGTACAGCGCCAAGGTGAGGGGGAGGGTGGGGCCCACGCCCAGCAGAATGATTCCCTTCAAGAGGCAGGATAGCGCAGCAGTGAAGAGCAAGGGCTGGGTTCGGACACAGATTTCACCACTTTTTAGTTACATGAACCCAGGCAAGTAACTTCACTGAGTCTGTTTATCTGTAAAATGTTGCAAGGATCAAATGACATCAGGCGTTTGAAAAACTTGTCACAGACTACTCTGGATACGTTCATAGTGATCACAAGGAAGCCCTTTCCTGCCGCCACTGAGTGCCAGGCCTCATGCTGGGCTCTGAGGACAAAGACCTGCATCAGACGTGGGCCCTGCCGCCAGGGAGCCAGACTGGCAGACGGCTAACCCAGGAGTTGGTTTGTGAGTTGTGCCGCCGTAGAGGTCTCAGCCAAGTAGAGAAAGTGCCCTCTGTCACAGAGAAGGTGGCCCGTACATTAACCCGTGAAGAATAAGTGGAGCTTCAAGCAAGAAGAGAAGGCCATTCCACAGGCGGAAAAAACAGTGCACACAAAAGCACAGAGTTAAGGGAATGGGAGGATTGTTCAGAAGAGTCTAGGGTTGTTGGGACACAGTGTTGGGGGAAGTGAGTAGCGACTAGATTTTTTTTTGAGTGTCAGGAGGTAAGTAACTCTTTTTCTTTTGGGCAGTAGGGACTCTTTAAATGGTGATTGGTGATCAGATTTTTCTCTTTAGAAAGCTTTTGCAGGCTTAGTTCAGAGAATGGACCTGAATGAGGAAATAGCTCTGGGGATGTGGAGCCCCTGACAGAGTCAAGAGCTATTTAGGGGTGACTGATGAGATGGGGGGTAAGGAAAGGGTCAAGCCGGCCTGTCTTGGATTCTCATTTGGGTGCCCGGGTCCCTGGGCAGTGCTGGCATGTACTACCATAAGGGCTAGTCAGTCACTCAGCAAACACTGACTGTAGTCCACTAGGCCCCAGACCCACCTGCAGGAAAGGAACGGGAACCAAGGTCAAAGGCATACATGATGCTTGGTGCGAGCACCTAGTGGAGCTGTTCTGTGCCTTCAGATAGGCCTGACTGCAAAGCTGGGACTTACTCCCCAAAATGCAGGAGCCAGATAGGTCCCTACCATGTGTCCACATTGATGGAGGAGACAAAAATACATCCTTCTCACAGAGTAGGTAAAAATCATTCAGGAAAGGGGCGCCTGGCTGGCTCAGTCAATAGAGCAGGAGACTCTTGATCTCAGGGTCGTGAGTACAAGCCCCGCAATGGGCATAGAACTTACTTAAAAACAACAACAAAAATAATTCAGGAAAGGAAAAGAAAGTTCTCTGAGGGTATACTGTGTGTGAGGCACAGTGCTCACAAGGCCTTTTAATCATCTAATCAGTGTCTGCAGAACATAGGCCAGGCTCCTGTCACAACAAAGTCAAATGAGACACAGTCCCAGTGTCCCTACTGTGACCCTGGGTGGTGGGCTTTTAGTCATCTTGTTTTCTAGAGAGAGAAATTGAGGCAGCAAGAGGTACTTCTGAGGGCAGACCCTCAAACTCTGCTTTTTGTACCATACTGGCTATAGCAGGTTGCTGCGTGGGAGGGGAAGTCAGGAGATGCAATGGCTCTTTGAGAAGATCTAGAAAAAGCTGGATATGCAGCAGTCCCAGTGGACTGTCACCCCGACCCTGGCTGGGCAGGGGGTGAGTGCAGGCTCTCTGCATCTTACAGGTTGCAGGACCTCCAGCGAGTCACATCACCCCTCTGAACCTTACTTTCTGCCTTTGAAAATGTCCTTTAAAAGACCCACTTCATGGGGTTGTTGTGAGGATGAACGAAGTCAGGTGTTGAGCGCGTGGCACAGTGCTCGGCAAATTGTGACTATTCACAATCCGGGGACAAGAAGGAGGGAGTGGAAACGGCTCTACCCTTGTGATGTGCTGATTAGTTACTAGGTCCGTAGATTTGTCACCAGAAGCCCGTGTTTTCCTAGCCCGACTAGCAGTGTTGAAGTGTGTACATGTGGGCCAGGTTGGGATGGGGGCTTGGGCTCGGGAGTGCGGGTGAATGTTGGTTCAGGGGATACTTGGGCCCACCCGCCCCAGACCCCCCCCCACTGGCCCGGACAGGGAGCAGTATAGAACCCCAGCAGAGCAGTGGGGCCGGTGGAGTTCGGGCTGCCCGGACCCTCACTCTTTTGCCTTCCCCAGTCTGGAGAGGTCCTAGTGAATGTTAAGGAGCACTCCAGGCAGATCAATGACATCCAGTTATCCAGGGACATGACCATGTTTGTCACCGCCTCCAAGGACAACACAGCCAAGGTGAGCCTGGGTGAGGAGTCTGGAAGGGCTCCTCCCACCCCCTGCAAAGCTTTCCCCTTGCCCAACTTTCCCTCAGGAAGACTCCTGTTACAGATTTCCTTCCCCTGTCTTCTCTCTCTAGCTCTTTGACTCCACAACTCTTGAACACCAGAAGACTTTCCGGACAGAACGTCCAGTCAACTCAGCTGCCCTCTCTCCCAACTACGACCATGTAAGGGAACCCTACCTGGGCTTCCTGCTGACGCCTTAGAATGCTTCCAGGACCTAGGCGTTCATCTAGCAATTGAGATATGAACTCTGTAGGAAATAGTGTCAGGTAGAGAGGAGATTACCAGAGCAATGAGAAGGCTGAATGATTGGGAAGCCCCAGAGGGCAGGGCAGGAGGTGACTGAAAAGATCTGTTTGGGCCTGCCCTTAGCATCTTCTCAGTCTGATGTACTAATATAAAAGCTTATGGGCTGGGGGTAAAAAACGGAAAATGGACTTGCCTGCCCTTCCAGCCTGTCTAGAATTTCTTCTTCCCTTCAGGTGGTGCTGGGCGGTGGTCAGGAAGCCATGGATGTAACCACCACCTCCACCAGGATTGGCAAGTTTGAAGCCAGGTAAAGAGAGTGGGGACAGGGGCACCTGGGTGGCTCAGTTGGTTAAGCGTCTGCCTTCTGTCTTCGGCTCAGATCATGATCCCGGGGTCCTGGGATCCAGCCCCGTGCGGGGCTCCCTGCTCAGCGGGGAGCCTGCTTCTCCCTCTCCCTCTGCCTGCCACTACCCCTGCTTGTGCTCTCTCTCTCTCTCTGTCAAATAAATAGATAAAATCTTAAAAAGGGGGGGCTCTTCCAAATTGAAACCCCACAGAGTGTCTTTTGTGATAGACACAAACCACATACCTGGGGAGACTTCCTTATTTCGTTGCCTGCTAGGAGGTACAGCCAGATTTGTGGCCTTCCTGTGACAAGTGTGTAGTGTAGCAGTTAACGGGCATGACCATGGGCTCCCTCTGAGGCCCTGGACCCATCCTGTATTTCTCTGTGCCTGGTTTTCTCCACTGTATATTGGGGACAGCGATAATACACTTCCCTTATAAAATCGTGCAGATTAAATGCATGAGTTACTATGTAGTAACGAAGTGTTAGCCAGGATTGCAGGCAGACACTTGGGTCCAGTCTTACCGTTCTCTTATTTTCTTCACGTTCATTCTCCCTCATCCCCATTTCCCCACTTTCTGCTTTGCATTTGGGGAGCGGTACGTCCAGCATGTCTTGGAAGGAGATGGAGAGTGACCTGTCTCTTCCCACCACTCTCCTCCAGGTTCTTTCACTTGGCCTTTGAAGAGGAGTTTGGAAGAGTCAAGGGTCACTTCGGACCCATCAACAGTGTTGCCTTCCATCCCGATGGCAAGAGGTAGGGCTCCATGCAGGGAACTGAGCTCAGCCCCACTCTGGCCTCTGGCCCTTTCCCGTGCCCTGCCCCCCCCCTCCGCCCCTGGGCCTGCCTTGCCCCAGAGGGGACACCTGACTGGTCCCTGGCTCGCTCTCTCTGCAGCTACAGCAGCGGCGGTGAAGATGGTTATGTCCGCATCCACTACTTTGACCCACAGTACTTTGAATTTGAGTTTGAGGCTTAAGAAGCTTGGATCTCCATCAGGACCAGGGGAAGTTTCTGGGCCAGGGCTCACAGAAAGTTTTGGACTCTGAGTAATAAATTCATTTGGAAATAAGTGGTTTCTGGTCAGAAATTTTGTGGGGACTGTGTCATCCTTTTCCCTTCTCAGTGACACCCCAGCGAGCTGATACCAGTCATGGAGATCTTTATTAGTTAGACCTCCCTACACCACAGACACTTCAAACCTGGAGCTTCAGTATGTTTTGGACTAGGCTGGGTTGCAGGCGCCCTCATCCAAGGTCCAAAGGTGCTGAGGGACCTGGAGGGGTCTCCGGAACATCTCAACCACTATCCAAGGAGCCAGCACTTAAAGTTGGGGCTCAGAGGCTGAAACTGTTGGCTCACAGCCCTCGGTCTTCTTATCTGTCACTATTTGCCACACCTTCTCCCAGGCTACCTCTGAAGATTCAGGCGGGCGGATCCAGCGCAGAAACAGGCCTGAGGAGGAAGAGGAGGACAGATAAGGAAGCTGAGCAGAGGGGCTAGCTCCCCAGGGAAGGAGGTGGGGTAGGGCGTCACCTTGCCATAGTCGCAGGGTCTGGAGCTCCACAGAAGGCCAGATGGCCAAGGGATTGGGGACGTAGAGCGGGTTCCGGAGTTTCCGTTGCTCTTTTGGCTGGTTGAGCCCAGACCACAAGGAGTGAGTTCGAGTCCTCACTTCACACAGGCATCTGTAGGCAGTGAGTTTCCAGACTCAAGCTATGCCTTCTGGGATTCTGGACTGGGAACCCTGGTTAGGTGGGTGACAGCCACCCTGGGGGCAGGGATAATCTCTCCTTTTTCCTGCAAATGTTCTTGCCAGTCAGATCCTGTACTGAACACTGGAATAAAGTAGAACAAGACAAAGTCCTAGTTGTTCAGGAGTTCCATTTAGCTCTGCCTGGAAGCGTCAGGGAAGGTTACTGAGAATGTGCCACTTGGGCTGGTTCTGTCCGCAGAAGTTCACCAGGTGTGCAAAAGCATGGAAGTACTTAGGAGGGGAGACTACAGGGCCAAGAGCAAGAAAATGGGAGAGGGCCCAAGTGAGTGTTGGTGGGTTTTTGTCTTTTTCTCTTAAAAAGAGAGGAAAAGCACGAGCAGGGGGTGGGGGGCAGAGGGAGAGAGAGAATCAAGCAGGCTCCACATCCAGTGCGGAGCCCATTGTGGAGGCCGACACGGGGCTCGATCTCATGACCCCGAGATCATGACCTGAACGGAAATCGAGTCGGACGCTTAACCAACTGAGCCACCCAGGCGCCCCTGTTGGGTGAGTTTTTTAAACTGGTGACAGCTAGAAGAGTGAGGCGGCTGTTCCCACAGCCCACATGGAAAGAAGAGTCTGGACTGGGGTCGGTAGGAGGGGCCTTTGCCAGGAAAGGAAAAGGTAAGAAAGTTTTAGGAGAAAGACTGTATATGAAGGACCGGGGAGAGGGAGATACATCGAGATAAGAGTTTCTAACCGGGATGACCCAGTAGTGGAGTCAGTGAAAACAACATTGGGGCGGGGGGTTGTTGAGCAACAAAAGCGAGAAGAGGAGTGAACCCTCCCCTCATGTCAGACTGATGAGAGAAAGATGGCTTTGGGGGGCTTGGGAGCATAGGCAACAGGCGAACCAGATGGTAAGAACAGCCACTGCTGGGGTGCCCACGTGCCAGGCTCTGTGCCAAGCACTTCGCATGCTTTAACCCAGCTAATCCACACGCAGCCCCGGCCCCCAGACATGCCGGCTGCTACTAGAAGCCTCCTTGCTACTAACAGGAAACAGGTTTCCTATGATCACCAGCAAGGTGAGTGATGGAGCCGGAAGTTAAGCCCAAACAGTTTGACTCCGTTTTCAACCTCTACTCCTTTGCTTCACTAGAATCAACCCTGCAAAGTGGTAGAGAGCCTCAGAAATGACTTATTTGGCAGCAACTTCCCCCTTCAGTCTTTGTTTTTAAGCTAGGCTCTTGGCTCTGAACAGAGTGGGTAGGTCTGAAGGACTGGCCGTGGACCAATTCAAATCTGGGTTTGCAGAAGTTAAGGGGAAGGGTGAGATTTGGAGGCAGGGGAGGAGAAAACACTGGAGTTTTCCCCAAAGAGAAACTCATCCAAAAGGGACAGATGTCTTCTAGGGACCTCGGTGCTGATGCAGCAGGTATCTGACCCTGGCCTGTGCCTGGCCCCTGACCCGCCTTGACACCCCCTTCGCTCACCTCTCCTTTTCGCTGCTGCAGAGGAAGGTGCCAAAAGGGGAGGCATAGGCGTGCTCAAACAGGGCCAGCAGCAGCCCCTCCCCAAACTCCAGCGACAGCGGGAACTGGCGGCCCAGCTGCCACACGCAGTCCAGGAAGAGGAGAAAGGTGGGTGCCTCGTGCTTGGGGCGGGCATGGGAGAAGGCCGAGTGGGCACAGCGCAGCTGGAAGGGGTGGCCGGCCTGGGGAGGGGGCAGAGCGATGGGCACAAGGAAGCAGGGTCTCTGGATGGAGGGGCAGGGCTGGGGCTGAGCAGCCACTTACCTGGATCCACTCCCGCTCCACCAGTTCCTGGAATCCAGCTATGGTCCGGCTCGAGGGGTCCAGGATGAGCTGGGCCAGCGAAGTCACCAGCAGGGTGCTGTCCATGCCTTCAGCCCCATGCACCAGGACGCAGGCCCCTTCCCTGTGGGCCAGGGCTGTTAACAGTGGCCAGGCCTTCCCAGCCTGGGGTGGGCGGGCCAGGAACCAAATGGGCCCATTTCTAGGCTGTCCGTGCTTACTGAGACATGGCTGTGTGCCCAGGGGTTGAGGGCCCTGCCCATCCGTCCTGTTCTTTGCCTCCTGGCAGGGGGCTTACCTCCCCACGCCCTGGGCTGCTAGGCAGGCGGTGCTGAGTGCCTCCTTCACATGCGCCAGCCAGTGGCAGGCCTCCAGATGACTGAGCCAGCGGTCCATGCTCTGCTCCAGGTCTCCACAGGCCTCCACCAGGCGCACGAAACTCTCCTGTAGGGGCCATCCCCTGCACAAGCAGGAATCCGGTCACCCCATCTCCACCCAAGCTCTGGTGAGCATAGCCTGGGAACAAGCGCTCCAGACCAATGAGGCAGACAAAGAACCCTCAGAGGAACCCATCTGACAAGAGGGACACAGGACCATTTGGGGGGCCCACCTAATCTGATGGAAATGGTTCAGTATCTTGGAGGATTCCCCAATCTGATGGAGGAGACCCCAGACCCCTTGGGGGAGACCTAGTCTGTTGGGGGGTACCTGGGGGGGGTCACACAGCCCTCCTGGGAAACAATGCCCTGGGAAAACCCCAATTTGATGGAAGCATCCCAGTGCCCTTGAAGTAGCCCAGTCTGATGGAAGCAACACGGTACTCCCTGGGGCGCCCCAGTCTGACAAGAGAAACACAACATTCTTAGGATTCTGGTACCTGCTCCTGCTTCCCAGGAACTGCCCTGCTCAAGATCACCAATGTGACCTCCTGCGAGAAAATCTCATGGAGACTTTTCCAGCCCTGTGTAAAAGCCTTCAGTGGCTGCCCCCTGCCTTTAGGATGAAGTCTAAACTCATAATCATGACATTCAAGACCTTTGCTCTGGTCCCTGTCATCCCTTTAGCCCCATCTCTCTCTGTGTCTAGCCCACAGTCTACACGTCCACCATTCTGAAGTGCTTGCAGCTCCCCAAACAGGACAAGTGACCAGAAGCTCTGCCCCTGTGCACCTGCCATTCCTTCCACCTGGAATGTTCTGCTCTCTGGCCAACTCCTCTTCCAGGTGCCAGCTAACACCTCCAGTTCTCAGGGAAACTTTCTTTGCACTCCCTACACACAGGAGAGGGGCACCTGCTCTGTGCTGCCGCTCATCACACTGAACCCTAACTGCCCACGTACTGCTGATCTCCCAACCCCGTCTGGGCTGGCCACCATCCCAGCCTCTGTGCTCAATCAGCACAGGTTGAATAAAGGAATAAACAGTTTTGTATTCTGGACAGGGGAGCAGTCCACTCTCCATAAAGCACAAAAACTCCCTGAGGACCTGCTCCTGGTACTACCACCACCTGGATAGATACAGCTGCGCAGGTAGAGCCCTCAGGGGAGGGCTGGGACCAATGGGGAGAGAGGTGTGTGTGTATGTGCATGTATGTGCGTGTGTGTGTGCGTGTGTGTGTGTGTGTGTGGTGAGGTTGTTCGTGGAAGACAAATTCCAGTCTAATGTAAAGAGAGGCTTTTTCTTTCCAGGCAGGGTTGGGGGTACCTAGAGAGAAATGAGCTCTGTGGGGGGGGGGTGCAAGTGGGGATGCTCACCGGATAGGATGGCTACTCAGAAATGCCTAACAGTCAGTCCCCAAGGTTCCTGGAAGACACCCCCTACTCCTACTACACCCCCCACCCCCCCACCCCTCGCCACACACACTCGTATCCCCGAAGAGTCCGGTGGGAGAGCGCCCAGAAGAGGACAGAAAGACCTCTCACCTCTCCAGGGGCCGGTGCAGCCGTTTCCAGCCCGGGTAGGCGGCTTTGGCCTCGGTGCCGCCGCCAGTCACGCGGGCCTGTTTGGCGGCCTGAGCCGAGCGCGTGTCCAAGACGAAGCCCCGGGCCCCAGGGCGAGCCCCCGCCAGCACAGCTCGCAGCAGCTCCTCGTCCTCAGCGCAGCGCCTTTTCTGGGGACCAGTCAGGGGCTGGCTGGAACGGAGCAGCACCTGCGGACGGGGACTCCACTCCGGAAGCCATAGCCACCCAGCCCCGGCCCGGGGACGTCGCTCGGGGAGCCCCTAGGGAGCGTCTACACACTAGGGCGGGTCTAGAGCCTGGCAGGGGCGGGCTGGAGCGCAGGGAACCTAGCCGCGGAACTTACAAGGCGCAGGGCCCGGGCTTGGGTGGGGTGTAGCCGGAGGGGAAAGGGACCCGAAGAGTAGACCTTGGGCGGGTCCAGGGTTGACGAAGACCGGGCTAGGCTCCAGGGACCCGAACGGCCGGGGACCCGTCCCAGATTGGCAAGACTCCGTCTTGGGACAGAGGGGCGGGGTCAGAGTCCGGGGAGGGCGGAGGGAACGGAGGGGGCGGGGCCAGAAAGGGCAGGAGCCTGGGAGGCCCGCGCGCCGCGAATTGGCCGGGCCAGTGCAGAAAAGGGCCAAGAAGGGCCGCAGTTGTTCCTAGTGGCGGAGTCTGGGGACGGGCGGGCTCACGGTTCCGCTGGGAGCGTGGTGGTAGCTGAGCACAGGGAAGCGGCCTCCCTGGCGGAAGCGGGCGCAGCGCGCCAGGGCATCGTCGTCTACCGCGCGAGGCACGATCACGGCGCGGGGGTAACTGGGGCACAAGCTGAAGTCCCCGTTCACCTCGCTCAGCCGCCACGCGTTGGTCTGCGGCGCAGGGAGAGGCGAAGGCCAGGTTAGGGCACTCAGTGCGCGCCCGGTCCTCACGCCCCTTCCAGGCCCGGCGCTCGCGCAACCGCGGGCCCCCACGACCGCACCCACCTCGCGAGCTACTCGCTTGTAGTAGCGTTCGGGTGGGTGGAAGTGCCAGGCGTCGCCCAATCTCAAGCCCTTGGGACGGTAGAAGAACGGAAAGGAAGTGATGACCGATTCCAAGGACGACAGCGCCTGGGGAAGGAAGTCGGGGGATCTGGGCAAAGTCGAAATCTTCTCACCCGCGCGCTCCCGGCCCCTGCGCTCCGCAGCTCCCTCCTCTGCAAGTACTCTAGACCACCCTGCATCCCTTGCCATTAGCTGTGTCCCAGGATAACACTGGATGCTGAGTCTCCCTGCGCAATAGCCCCTGTTTACTCCCGTCGTTACGAAATGGGGGTAGCTTAAGGGCCTCGGGAGCACCGCTGGCGTACCTCGATGGAACGGGCGATGTCCAGCGTGGCTTCCACGCCCTCTATGTCCAGCTGCAACACTCGCAGGTCCTTACAGCGCAACGTGATGGTGCCGGAGTCACCCGAGACCCTGGGGATGGACGGGCTTAGGCTTAGTATCCCCCGCCCCCCACCAGGGGAGGAGAAACGAGTTTATTCGGATTGGACGCAGTGCAAGGGGGCACCAGTGCCAACCGCGCTTGCCCTTCCCCCTCCTCCGCGGAGCCGCAAGCTCCGCAACTACGGGGACGCCCCCGCCACGTCTCACCGCTTCTCGATGGAGTCTACCCTACGCAACAGCAGCAGCCACAGGTCTGAAGTCGCCTGGGGCCCCGGCGACAGCAGCAGGTGGTGGCCGGTGACGCATAGCGTGCCACGCAGTGGGGGCGCCTCCGGACCCCGCAGGAGCTTGGCTTGGGCCCGGCCGGTACGGATCAGCTCCGAGAACTCCATTCCGTCTGTGGTGGGCCTGGGGCCCAGCAGGACAGACTCCCGGAGCGTCAGGCGGGGCGAGCGCGGGCTCCGAAAGGGACAGGAACTGGCTGGGCAGCTGGCGACGCCGACAGGACAGCTGTTAAGGAGGCCCCTTGGAGGAAGGGATCGAACAGTTTCACAGGAATTTCCCGCTCCTGCTGCCAGCACCTCTGAGCGAGGACGCCGGCCAGAACCTGTGAAGGAAATCTCAATTTCATCTATCTGTGACATGGGGAGAATAATCTTGCTTAAAGCCCTTCACCTCGTGCCTTGTTCTCAGGTGGCACTCAACATTTTTGGTTGTTTTTTTTTTTTTAACCTAGGAGCTGGCACTCTCACTGGCTTAAAAAAGAAAAATTACCGTCTCTTCTTTTGTACCCTGGTGGAAGGGGTGGAAAGGGTGGGTGCGAAACTGGGAACTGTCTGCTTCCTTCCCCTACATCTGAGGCTGGGTGGGGGAAATCCCTTAGTCCACCTTAAATGGAAGCAGCTGTGTAGCTGGTGCCCCTCCCCCACCACAGCTGGAAGTCCCTGCCTGAGGGCGCCCTCTACGGGGGGCCACTCCTGGCTTAGTCCTGCCCTCTCCTCTCACTATCACTCCATCCTTCAACCAAATATGAATTGCCCATACACCGAGCTGGCCCCTGTATGGGGACCCAAAGATGACTGAGGAAGGTTCTGTTCATTGGGATTTTCCGATTGGCAAGAGACACACCCAAGCTGGTAAACTACAAGAGGTGAAAGGATTTACTGGAGGACCCATCCATCCATCTATCCATCCAACCAATTATTCTTTCATTTCTTTTTTTTTTTTAATTCTTTCATTTCTTAAACACTGATGCCTACACTGTGTTAAGTGCTGATTACTAAGAAGAATAAGACAGACACCTGCCTTCAAAGGGCCTTTTGGTCCACCAGGTTCCAGGTTTGTGTGGGTGTGCGTGTGTGCAAAACCCTTCTTTTAAAAAACACACGCACAAAAAGAAAAGAAATCATAGGTGGACACCCATAATATAAACATAAAATCGGAATGATCTGTGAAAGGAACCAGACATAAAAGAGTATGAATTGTAAAATTCCAGACCAGCTGGGATGGGAATTCATTAGAAATGCAAATTATCAGCCCCACCCCCACCACCACGTGTCTCCTTAAACACGTTTTCTAGGAGATTTCCATGCACACTAAAGTTTGAGAACCAGGGGCACCTGGGTGGCTCAGTTGGTTAAGCGTCTGTCTTCTCTCTTCGGCTCAGATCATGATCCTGGGATTGAGCCCTGCTCAGCAGGGAGACTGCTTCTCTCCCTCTGCCTCTTCCCAGCTTGTGCACGTGCTCTCTGTCTCTCTCTCTCTCTCTCAAATAAATAAAATCTTAAAATTCCAAAACACATTTAAAAAAAAATAAAGTTTGAGAACCATTAGGAAGTACACAAAAAGGCAAACTAATGGTAGCTGTCAGAGATTGGGAGAGTAGTGACAGGCCAGGGGCATTCCTGGATGCCGGTAATGCTCAGTTGTTCCATCTGGGTGCTGGGTACACAAGTGGGTTTAGTTTGGGAGAATTCAGCAAGGCTTGTCATTACTTACGATGTGTGAAGTTTTCTGTGTGTCTGGTATTTTTCTTTCTTTTTTTTTTTTTTTTAAGATTTTATTTATTTATTTGACAGAGAGAGACACAGCGAGAGAGGGAACACAAGCAGGGGGAGTGGGAGAGGGAGAAGCAGGCTTCCCGCGGAGCAGGGAGCCCGATGCGATGCGGGGCTCGATCCCAGGACCCTGGGATCATGACCTGAGCCGAAGGCAGACGCTTAACGACTGAGCCACCCAGGCGCCCCTGGTATTTTTCAATACAAAGTTTAAAAAAGGGAACAGCTCTGGTTGAAGCCCTGGGAGGGGCAGGGAGAGGGAGGGTCTAGGAGCCCATCTACGGCTCTGCCCTTATCCCATACATAGTCCTTGAGGGATTTCCAAGGGAACCTAAAGGTCCTTAGAGTACAGCTTGAAATTATTGATCTGTCCCAACAGAGAGTCCGTGACATGTCCAAATGTCATGAGGACAGAGGGCAGCTCATCAGCCTTCTATCCATTCCCCACCCCCCTTAACTTGGGTCTTGGGAAGAAGGCCAAGACTCTAGTGTGGATGATGCTTTTCTCATCCTGGAGCAACTTCCTTTCTGGGAACAGGGTGTCTCCTTTTGGGCAAAGACAATAAAATTCATCCAAGGGGCCGGAGGAGCAGGGCTCCTCCTGCCCTCATCCGGATGGCATCACGTGGCTCCGGGTTAGCAGGCCAGGAAAATCCCAGCCCTTGCACACTCGGCCTCCCATACCTCTCTATTCACCCACCCTGACACACTCGGCCTCCCTGACTCGCCTTGAACATTCACCATCACACACTCCCTGGCACAGTTCTGTCACCCTCGGCTCCTGCCGTCACCCCCCAGCCATACTGCCAGCCTTTCCCAGAGCTGCAGCCTTGCCCCGTCACTCACCCCAAACCCACCATGTCCCTGGGGCCACTGGAATTCCAGGCAGTGGGTGAAGAAAATGAAGAGGATGAGGAGGAAGAGAGCCTGGACTCTGTGAAGGCCCTGACCGCCAAGCTGCAGCTGCAGACGCGGCGGCCCTCGTATCTGGAGTGGACAGCCCGCGTCCAGAGCCAGGCGTGGCGCAGGGCCCAAACCAGACCTGGGCTGGGGGACCCCGGGATCCTCTGCGGCTTCGACTCAATGGACTCTGCCCTTGAGTGGCTCCGCCGGGAGCTGGTGAGTCGGGTGGGGTGGGCAGTCATCCTTAGGACCCGAGAACCAACCGTGGGTGTGGGGAGGGGATGAGGATGGACCTCACCTCCAGCAACTGCCCTACTCCTGTGGCTTTGTCCTGGGGCTAAGGAGCCGTGAATGGACCTGTCCAGTGATTTATTCAGGGAGACTTGCTGAAGCAGGATTCCAGCCAACCTACCTACTACCGACTACTCCTGTGGCTCTGGGGACAGAGCCCTGCCCTTCGGGGCCACCAGTCATAGATGGGGAAGGCATGGCCTCCCCTACTCTGGGAATTGCTATAGCGCAAAGGTGCAGTGCAGGACAAAATGAGGCACTGACCACACTGTAGGCAGAACCTGCGGAGGCCAGCATTACTCAGGTGGCTCTTAACCCAGTACGTGCAAACAAAAGGATGTCTAGCCTCTAAATTGGAGACTGCAGTTTAGTTGACCTGTATTTGTGTAACAGTCGCTCCTTAGTTTTAGAGCAAGATCTGAGCAATGCGGAGGGATCAAGCTGGGGCGAGAGGGGGTGGGGAGGACCCAGGCGGTGCAAAGACCCAGGTGTTGACAGAAGGGAAGACTGGCGCGAGCGGCTGCGGACCAGTGCGCAGTCTCACGCCCCCTCTCGGCCGCAGCGGGAGATGCAGGCTCAGGACCGGCAGCTGGCGGGGCAGTTGCTTCGGCTGCGGGCCCAGCTGCACCGGCTGAAGGTGGACCAAGCCTGTCACCTGCACCAAGAGCTGCTGGACGAGGCGGAGCTGGAGCTGGAGCTGGAGCTGGAGCCGGGGGCCGGCCTCGCCTTGGCGCCGCCGCTGCGGCACCTCGGCCTCACGCGCATGAACATCAGTGCCCGGCGCTTCACCCTCTGCTGAGGGGCACCTGCGTGCCTCCTGAGACCCGCTGGGAAGGAGGAAGGGAGGGGTGCCTCAAAGGCGCCAGCACCTGGCAAGGGGTGGTGGGAGGGTTGGGGGGGTCACTCAGTTCTCTGGGAGTATAAAGCCCCAGCATCCTGTCAGCCCTGCTGCCCTAGCTTGAGGAGGGGATGTTGGAGGAAGGGGAGAAGCTCACAGACCGCCCCCCGCCCCAACTCTTCAATAAAGGCCCTCTCTGCTTCCATCAAGGTCTCTGCAGTCATTTATTCAGGCCCAAGGTCGCTGTGTGTTTATCTGTAGCTGGGGCCAGGGATTCCACTGCCTGGGTTGGGGTGGAGATGAACAGATGGATCCCCGTCTCTCCCTCAGCTCCAGCGCTGTCTCCCCCTCTTATCAAGTTCAGAACTGGGCAAGAACCTGAAATCCTAAATCACCCCTATGACAGGTGACAGGTCAAGGGGCAGCTGAAGAATGCGGGACCTGGTAGACCTGAGTTCCAAGCCAGCTCCACTGTGCATTTCTTTTCTTTTTTCAAAATATTTTATTTGTTTGAGAGAGAGAGAGAGAGAAAAAGAGAAAGCCCGAGTAGGGAGAGGGACAGAGGGAGAAGCAGACTCCCTCTGAGCAGCAAGCTGGATGTGGGGCTCGATCCCAGGACCTTGAGATCAGGACCTGAGCTGAAGGCAGACAGGTTCACTGAGCCAGCCAGGCGCCCCTCCACCACGCATTTCCATCAGACCTTGAGGAGGTCCCTGCAGCTGTTTGTTTACCTCTCAGCTGGAAACGCTACTATGCTACTTCTACTGCACAAGTAGTTGGGGATGTCTTCAGTGAGACAATGCTTAATAACACTCAAAACCGGGGCGCCTGCGTGGCTCAGTCGGTTAAGCGTCTGCCTTCAACTCAGGTCATGATCTCAGGGGCCTGGGATCGAGCCCCGCATCGGGCTCCCTGCTCACTGGGGAGTCTGCTTCTCCCTCTGCCCCTGCTGCTCCCCCTGCTTATGCTCTCTCTCTCTCTCTCTAACAAATAAATAAATAAAATATTAAGGGGCACCTGGGTGGCTCAAATGGTTGAGAGTCTGCCTTCAGCTCAGGTCATGATCCCGGGGTCCTGGGATCGAGCCCCGCATCGGGCTCCCTGCTCCGCGGGAAGCCTGCTTCTCCCTCTGCGTCTCCCCCTGCTTGTGCTCTCTCTGTCTCTCTCTAATGAATGAATGGAATCGTTTAAAAAAAAAAAAAGAATAAATAAAAATAAAAAAATCTTAAAAACAAACCAACACTCGAAACCCACAAACTGTCTCTTGCTTATCCTTGCTCTCACCCCTGGTAGTAGTACTGCTGTGCGGAGGCCCGGAGACGGGCCGGGCAGGGCTCTGGGTCACTCTGTGGGTTTTTTAACATTGCGTCTCCTCAGCCTTTGTTTCTGTAGTACCCACTTTGTCTGACTTTCCAGCTCAGGCTTCCTCTTCCTCCCCCCATTTCCTGTCTCCCCCTTCCCTCTGTAGCTGAGGTGCACAGAACATCAGCTTCCACCTCACAAACCCCAACAATGCTCTGTGGGCTCCCCTCCCCCAGCCTGCTCACTTAGTGTAGGCTCCCGCGGTGGTG